ACTCGGATTTGATGGTAACCTGCTCGCAAGTCTAACTTAGAAAAGTATCGAGCCTTTCCTAACTCATCAAACAATTCATCAGCCGTAGGGATTGGAAATTTATCCTTTACGGTAAGTGAATTCAAAGCTCTGTAGTCGACACAAAACCTGTAGGTACGATCTTTTTTCATGACCAAAAGCACAGGCGATGAGAACGGGCTATGACTCCTTATTATCCCTTGATTTAACATCTCTTTCACCAACTTCTCAATCTCGTCTTTTTGAAAGTAGGGATATCGATATGGTCGAACGTTGACAGGCCGCGATCCTGGCTGTAGATGAATGCGATGATCAAATATCCGTCGAGGCGGTAACCCATCTGGTTCGCCAAAAATTCCCTCGTACTCCTTCAAGAGTTCTCGAAAACTCCCAGGCATTCCTGCTAAAGGGTCTGCTGGTTCTCGATCATTCATTTGCTCGGGAATTTTTGGGACTTCAATGATCTCATAAATTTCGTGTACTGTATCAGTCTCCATTAATGCACACAACCGATTGTAAGAAATTTGCCTCGGCTCCATTCCTTCAACTCCTTGCAAATTTACCCTGTTACCGTTCCATTCAAATTCCATGGTTAATTGTTTATAGTCATGAACAACCCTTCTTAATTCACGAAGCCATGGCATCCCCAGGACAATTTCGGGCCCTTGAATAGGTAATACATAAAGTGGGACTTCGAAACTCGTCCCCTGCATCTCTAGAGCTAACTCTAGACTTCGATTTCGGCAAACTAGTGAGTCGCCACTCCCCACATAAACCTTAAAAGGTGCTATAGGTTCCACCGGTAACCTCAAGCGTTCTGCAACTTCAGGCCGAATGAAGTTATGTGTACTCCCGCTGTCTATCAACACGTGGACACGCTTCTCGTTAATTCTTCCCCATACTCGCAACGATCGAGGCCTATCCGAGCCCGCTAATGCATTGAGACTAGAAGCATCGCCTTGGATAGTCAACTCTTCCTCTTCTAAAGGCTCGGGAATTTCTTCCAAGTCCTCATCTGATCCTACGTATATCAAGAACAAATTAGCGCATTTATGGGACGGAGACCACTTATCATCACAATTATAGCACAAGCCCTTGAGTCGTCGCTCCTTCATCTCAGCCCGACTAATATTCTTGACTGGAATGGACCCTTTGGACCCTTTCACCACCTGAACACTATCACTTCGAATCTGGGTTGTGATCCCAGCCACTTTACCTGTTATGGTTGGTGTTCCAGCTTGTGTGTTTCTTGTGCCCCCCGAATCAAGTGTTGTGTTTGTAATACCACCCCATCGGTTCGCTACCCGGTACTTGGGTGTAGCCTCTGCGTACCTCGATTCATAAACCCTCGCTAGTGCAAAAGCTTCCACCAATGTTTTGGGCATGGAAATAAGCAACTCACGTTGAATATCAGCTTTTAGGCCAGCTATGAACACCGAAATCAACACAGGTCCGCTAATCGATGTCACTTTGTTCATTAGGCATTCAAATTCAGCCTGGTAATCCTCCGTCATGCCTTGTTGCGTCAATTTAGATAATTTTCCCACATAATCTTCAAATTGGGAGGGCCCGAATCAAATTCTAACTTGTCGTAAGAGCTCGCTCCACGAACACAAGATATTGCTGCCCTTCGCCCACTGGTACCACTCCGATGCCTTTCCCTCCATCGTGAAAGCAACAATACGAATTTGTTAATCATCAGGAGTCTCATGGTAATTAAAATATTCTTGCACCCTAAAAATCCACCCATCAGGATCAGTTCCCTCAAATCGAGGTAAATCCAACTTCATAATTGGATGACGATATGGAGGAGTTGTGATCCTCTCAAAGGACCCTCCTGTACTTCCTCCCACCAACTGCTTCGAGAGATTTTGCA